CAACAAAACAGGAGGAGTGTTGGAGGGTGGCAATGTGAGATCACAGCTTTACAAGTCTCTTACAGAACTTCCCTGCAAAGTGCTGAAAACCTGTGGGAGAACCAATCCACACTCGGTGGGGAACTTCCTTGCAGCATTGCTGATATCCTCCAAACTTAGAGAAAACTTGGGAATTTAAAGGGAAAATCAGCACTAACAGCCTGTGTTTTCTCTTTTTGGTGTCTTCTGCTTTCCTGGGAGCAGCTTTTCTCCATCACCAGAGTCGAGCTTGGGGTCCTGCTTGTCTCTCATCTCTACTTGGCAAATTCCAGCCCATCCCCAATCCTGTTTAACTTTGCTGGGACCTTCCTGAGATTCTCCTTTTTTTGCCTCAATCCTGCTGAACACCAAATTTTTGTGCTAAACAATACTGATCCATTTCTAATCACAATTTCACTTGAAATTTGCATTGCTGCAACATCAGGATCCTATTGAGTCAGTTTGAAATCAATCTGGTTCACAGAAAATACTTGAATTTAAAGTTTGAAAGCATCTTCCATTTAAAATAACATTTTAAAAAAATTAATTTGCACCTGTGCTCAATAGGGCACAGGAAGAACAGCGAAGCTTTTCACCAGGATTTGAAAACTACAGCAAATAACTTCTTCAGACAGAGAAAAATAACCTAATAGCAGCTTTCTCTGGGAACTCACAGGATTTCTCTGTTCAACAGAGCAGGAAAATACATGTGCTTTGTATGAATATAGAAATGAAGAAATAATTTATCAAGCAAAAATACAGGTATTTCTTCAATGATTTCCATTGCTGTGGAAATATTTTTTCTTTTTTGACACAGTTTTACTGCTCTGCTCTTTGATAGATTGATCTTAGATAGGAGCAGGAGTGCTTTTCTTCCTTTGATGATAAAGAAAAAGGAAGAAAGAAAAACTTAAGCATTAAGATGCCAACATGTGTTTTATCTACTTCAGTTCTGCCTAACAACTGTTCAGTTTCCCCATTTGCAGAAATTATTGCTTTATTTTCTCTGCCTCTTTCCACAAGTTTTCCTATTTTTTCCATAGTTTCTTATTTTTTTTCCTTTGTTTTTTACCATTCCCAGGGGAATAAAGCACCTGACCCCTAAGGTTATCCAGAAATCCCTCACCTTGGCAGGTGGGTGAGGACAAAATTTCTGCTTTTCTATTGAAATGATAAATTTCAGATTTTTAAATTTAATTAGTGCACTTCACCAGTCCTGTTTGAGAGGAATGTTGATCAGTTTTCTGTCCCCAATATTATTCTTATTTCTCTGAGACCTTTTAATAGAAAAAATATACCTTCCTCTAAATGTAAGGTTTTATTTGTTTGACTCTCCTTCCCCAATTACTTAAATTAATATAAAGATACCAGTTGGAGACAGAGTGGAGGACCAGAGATGTTTGTACTTGATTGAGTTTCTATTTGTACATCTCTGAAAGCAAATAAATCCAGCTTGGAATTGAATTAAGGGGATTCAAACCATGTTTTGTATTGGTTCATTAAGGAGGTATAAAATCCACCTAATTTAGTTAATTCCATAAAGGCATGTCAGTTTATGTATTCAACCAGAAGTGGGTCTCTTTTATGGGAGTTGTGGTTTCCTGAAACATGATGAATTGTTAAAATTGTGAAAATAATCTCCATGGTTTTTAAGCAAAATCTTTTTTACCCCCAGGGGTCCTTTTGTGAAAAGGATACACACCGCTGATACGCACCTGTCAATGCAGATATCCCAAACAACTTAAAATATTTAAATTTGTTGTCTAATGTTACAGCTGAACTCTACAGGCATCTCCAGAAATCAGCTTATCAGCTCTGCTGAATTCCAGCTTGAGGAATTTTTATAAAGCCTACAGGAACTTTAATTTACCAATAGCATTAAGAAAATAAGATTTCATCGGCTTTGGATCCATTCTGGATTCCGGGAGAAATCCAGTCTGGGTTTTCTTTTTTGCCGAGTCCATTCTGAACTCTGGCCAAAATTCGGTCCAGGTTTTCCATTTTGCCAACTCCATTCTGGAGTTCTGTCAAAATCCGGTCCGGGTTTTCCATTTTGCCGAATCCATTCCAGATTCCACCTGAAATCCGTTCCTGTTTTCCCCTTTCCCGGCTCCATTCCGTACTCCACTCCGGGTTCCCTGTTCCCCA